TTTTTTTTTGCGACTTTTGTCTTTACTAAATCGGTCACAAAAATGCCTTTGAGAATACTAGGAAGAAAAATTGAGAAACATTCCTCTGCATGATGTCAAGAGAGGAACTTTCATATACCTATAAATATATATGTATTTTTTTTCCTAGCGAAGAAACAGGCAATTCTTTGTCATTTTCGCTGTTTTTTGCTCCTACTCTCCTTCCTTATTCTTGTTTGCTCTGTCTTTTCTTGAAACCAGCCTACGTGGAAAGATGGAGGAAAAAAGCAGAGAAAAATAAATTTGAAATGGAATGTGGAGGCACGATAGAAGCCGTAATTGTGTTTAACAGTTGCGAAAACTGTGAAAGATACTGAGTTACAGCCAGCTACTGCATGCTTTTCCATTAAATGTCAGGCAAAAAAACACTGCTTTTGTTGATTTTCACCCACTGTTTCAGAAATGTCGCTTACTAATGGTAGAAAACATTTATCATGCAATACCATAAAAATTATTTATTTTGCTAAGTTTTTTTTGCTAGATTTTAAATTACTTAGACTCGCTTCTGAAGTCATGATAAAAACAAGCTGTTTTGAACTCATTTTAACTATGTTTCCACACTTCTCTCTACACCTTATTACTGCAAAAAAAAAGACTGAAACGTTGTTGTTTTCCTTGCCTAGCCAACTAAGCTTCATTTTTATGCTAACCTTTTTTGGCTGAAGTGAGTATGAATCAAGTAGAACTGGCTAATCTGTGTCTGCTAAGCCATATCGAGCAAGAATGTTGCTTTTCGACAAAGATTTAGAAAATCTTCGCATTATAAAAAAAAAGAAGTTATCTAAAAATTACTTATAAAAAATGCTCACGAAGAAACAAAAGTTCAAAACTTTAAGATTTTAAACTCTCAAATCTAAAGACAATGTATTTGCAAAAAATTTTTTACGACTTTCCTAAGAGAATAGTGAGTATGAAATCCGCGAAAGTACCCAAACTGCTGTTGCGTATTGCTCGCTGGAATTCACAAAACTATGATCTTCCGGTTTCGGCATAAAATTCAAAATCAGGTAGAACGCTAAGAACTGCAAAGCTTAGTTTATTCACAAATTTTTTTACGCTGTGACATCTTTTTTAAATTTTTTAGCCACACACAGCATATGTGCATTTTTTTCGTTTCTCCTAGTTTCATGCTCCGTTGTTTCTCATCTTTATTTATCTTTAGAAAGCAATACTTAAAATTCTCCAGAATTTTTCTGCAAAATGAAAAGGCAAAGAAATCTTCTCGTGAGGAAGCTTAATCTTCGTATAAGTATCAATACAAATGAATAAATATATAAATATTTTTTTGACAGAAAAGATTAGTAGTAGTTGCGAAGACAATGAATGCTGTACATTTAATTTCTCTAAAAAGACTTGGTTATTTTCCCACAAATTTAAATAGCAACAAAAGCAAAAATATCTCTTTCAACTTATGCTGATATCACTGAACATTCCATAACTGAATTTATTTGTAACAGTCAGTTTAGTTCAAAAGTTGCTGACGTTGATTATATCTTGATTACACTGTAAAAAAAAACTTGTATCTTTATCCGGAAATTCAGTTATCAGCAGGAAGCAGCTTAACGTCGTTACACTTGTCATCAGCGCAATTCTAATTACTGCTGATATTAGCAAAAAAATAATAATAATAATAATAAAAGAGTTCCATAGAAATTTACTCCATTTCTTTCAGAATTTTTAATGACTGTGCATCTCGGCAAAGGTTACAACTTTTTGAAGCGGGTGTTGTGAAGAAAATGTGCGAAAAAATGGCTGAATGTGGCAATTTTGGCGCAAGTCGAAAGTGAGGAAACAACCTTAGCATTTCCACGCTTTTGAATTGTCAACTTCAAGCTGAGTTATTCATATGAATCGTAGTACTAGATATCTGAATTTTTTGAATGAGTAAAACTAGCCTTGCATTAAGAAAGTATCGCTGCTCAACCAGCATTTCAAGCTCAAGTTAATCAGAATGAAAGTGATTTTCAGATTTTTAGTTAGAATAATATAATGGAGTTTAATCAATTTATTAATTTTTACCGCTTAAAGATATAACGGTAGACACCATAAGTTGGCACAGCTTGACAGAAAAAATTTCCTTCTTTCATTTCCAACAAACAATTAAAAAAATCGCCATTTTAACATAAAGCAGTGGGAAGATGTTATCAGATATTCAAAAGAAAAAAAGTCGCTTCCAGAGAACTAGTAATTAAAATAAATGTCTATCTACAGAAGCATCTTCTAAAATGTCATTCAAACTTTAAAAAAAAGACTGAAGTTAAAATTCACAAAAAAAAAAGAAAAAAAAAAGATTATAGTCTTTAACAAGTTTCTCCACGCCTGTTAGGCAAAATTTTTATGTGTCAAAGGTCAAAAAGACGACGTTCCAGGGGACGAAGTGTCAATGATGCAGAAAAGCGGCAAAAGCTTATCCGGAAGAACTTGAGTACAGCATCATCATCGTCTCAAGGCGTTGGTTACGGGCGGGGCTCAACAAAAAGCCAGTGGAACATAAGCAAGACGGTAATTTATCAATCTTTTAACCGTCAGCGTAGGTTGTTAATTGACCGTTACGTGTATTTATAATGTACAGGTCATCTTCCGTATATTCTGTTCTGTAAAAAACAGTTTCTTCTAGCCTCTGAAAAACAAAGATTTTAAGAAAAAAACTAACGTTGAGCTGTAAACAACAAACTGTACCCAATTTCCATCGATTAAGTTTGGTAAATCACTTTGGAAATTTACTGATGAAATACATTTTAGGTTGAAGAGCGCCTCTTAAAGGAAGAACAACTTATATGGCTACTTAACGCGTTGACAGCTTATATTTATCGTATATCACCAGATTTTACCACACCAAACTATTTGCATTATATGGAAAATCAACCAGTTCACTTAGGACCAACGGTGGTAAAAGAAATTGGTGAATCGGCAGTTATTGAACTTTTGGAATATCATTTGAACAACGATAGCGTTTTTGACATCAGCGAACACATGGAGTTGTATCAAGTAAGTGTATAAGCAAGCAATCGCTTTAGCCATTAAAGAGAATTCGGAAGTTTCTGAAGTTGCTCAGGCCTACTAAAAATTAAGTGAGTGAGTAAATCCGTTTCAGACACTATTTGAGGCGGCAGCAGTAATGTCAATGGTACCCGGCTTAGTGCCTTATTTGATTTATCCTAAAAAAAGGGATTCAAAATCCATCGCCAAAAATTTAGCTGTACGTTTGTATAATACAATGGCATCTTATGAAGGAGCTTACCGTACTCAGCTTGGCTCTCCAGATTTTCAATTAACTCAGTTTATAACCAAAATAAAACTTTACGTCCAGGTTACCTCTTACCTTGAATTAATTTACTGCCTACTACACTCTGAGCGCCAATGTTCTATTGTCTACATCTTCTCCTGCAAAGAACCTCAATGAAATTTAGTCGTGAACATTATAAAAAAAAGTACTGTTATTCAGGTTCTTCTAAAGGCAGCTCACGACTATGAAAGCAATATCCCATTTGAAAACCAAGTACCGTCAATAGCAATGTGCGAAACTCCCGAGCTTCATGTTGTTGAAGAAGAAAAACCTGTTCCATCACCACCGATACCAAAAGAGGTGTTTGTTGAACAAGCTTCAGATGTAGAACAGTTGTACGAGAAGGAGTTAAAGCCATTTCAAATGCAGACTTACAGGTAATGCACACAATTCACACTGCTGAGTGGCAAATTCCTGCTATAAAACTGTTTTTTTAGCATTTGACAGTAGGATAAATAAAAAGTTAACAATGTTAAAGGTTTTTCGACGAAAATGGAGAACTTATCGTACCATTCGCTTTTCGGAAAGAAGCAAAAAATCTTAACCCGTTTTCCGAGACCAACAAAGAGCGCACTAAACGAATCGGTACTTTTTCACTGGCAATACAACGTTGGCGATTTTAGGTTGCTGCTATGTAAAAAAATCAGTGGAGCAGAAAAAAAATAAAGGAAATCAAAACAACGCATATTAAACTTGTAAAAGTTTCAAATTGCAGCAAAAGAATTAGCATCAATGCCGAATACATTACCATTGCATGCCAGTAACAGTATTTACGTCTGCGTCGACGAAGCACGTTGTGATATACTAAAGGTTCTTATATCTGGCCCCGACGATACTCCCTACCAAAATGGTCTCTTTGAATTCGATGTATTCTTTCCAACAAAGTACGTACTGTTGGCGATTTCACACAAGTCGTTTAACATATATTGAAGTTGAATATGGCCCTTGAATGGCCACTGTTTTTGACACTTCAAAATACTAGTCTTTATTAATTACATCGTGGTATAATAATTGGGCAGTTCAGCTATCCACATTCACCGCCAAAATGTGAATTCCTTACCACTGCTGACGGCAAAGTTAGGTTCAATCCAAATTTGTATAGCGACGGAAAAATATGCTTGTCTGTGCTAGGTACTTGGGAGGGCCGTCCAGAAGAAAAGTGGAACCAGTACTGTTCGCTTTTACAAATATTAATCAGTATTCAGGTAAAACTTTTCCCTCAGAATTTTCATGACAACAGCAAAAATCATTCATTCCAAATAACTTTGACTTCCAGTAGAAGAAATCCCTCCGTGTTCTTCGGATTCTTCAGCTTTGCAACTGTGCAATTCCCCTTTATTACTTCATTTTCCTTTCATGTGCGTTTTCGTCTTCAAATATACAATTATAAACAGATAAATTCTTGAAACCAGAAACACAGATAAGAAACTTCGATGAGTCTTTTTTGTCTAAACAAAATTTTGAAGATCAATTTATAGAAAAATTAAATACGAACCGCTAATAAAGAATTTTATACGCTGAAGCAAGAGCATTTGAATAGAAACTAACTAACTTTGTTTTTGGACTTATAGGCAACTTGAGGGTTTTTCAAAAATTTGACGCAACTTAGGTATGACTTTTTTCATTTGGAAAAGTCAGTGCTTCATCTCATACCTTTGTCTATTCATATAGAACATTCAGCTACGAAATACAATATTTACATTCACAAAAATATGAAGAAATAGCACTTTTTCAAGCGCATACCAAACTTTACTTCCTGGTACTGTTCACTTCTATTCTTGGAAGTTCAATATTTCCTTGAAATCCTACAAAAAGTATGACAAATCTCTGAGCCACACAGCTGATGTAAGTGTAACATTTAGTTTACACAGGCTACTCTTACTCAAATATTTCATCCATTCACAGTTATAACTCCAACCATTCCCTTGCACTGGAACCGAAACTACCAGTACTTTGTGAAACTTGAAGAGAAAGCTACAGCGTAAGCTAAAAAAAAAACTCTATTCTGTAATTTTACCAGTGGAACGAGGAATCCATATATCAAAGTATTTAAAATCCCTATTTTAATCAAAAATGGGCTCTGAGTAAACATTCGTCCACGCTTTTCTAAGCTCAAGTTTAATGTATTATAAACTGTGTGAAAATAATTAAATTTATCCTCATTCATAAGAGTATCTTATGTATCATCCTAATAATCTTCACTATGTGCTTTGAAAAAAATAGAAAATCTTTTTTTATTTCTGAACTGAGGGTAAGACTTCATCCAGAAACATAGCTGTGTGGAAGAAATTAATTGTAACTTCTTCTCAATATACCTATACTTAATGACATTTTTTAATGTAAATATCGCCACTTCACTGTAGACTCATCTTTTTGTCATTTCGTCTCTATCGTTCCTTTCTATTTATGCTAGTTTATGGCTTCTTATGCACCAGTCTTTTTCAACTGCAGTCATTTTTTCTCAAGACTAGATAGGAGGCTATTTTTGTCTTTCTTGACCTCAAAATTTTAATACAAAGTTCCACAAACAAGTTTAAGTATTCTAAAGTCTCAGAGACAAAAAACAACCAAGCCTTCCTTACCCCAGATTGA